CCGAGAAGTGTGATCGTTATTTGTAAATACTACTGCTTATGTTAGCTTCTAATATATGATTTTATCCGTATTAAAGCTTTAATACAGCAGAATACATGATTGCTTTGTAGCATTTTTGTAAAGTAGTTGTTTATTTTGTAACAGTAAGAAGTGTTTGCCAGCAAGTATTGCTTGCTACTATGCAATCACATACAAGTCAAATTGCATTAATAAATTATTGGTCACATGCAAATAAAACACAATTAAAAACACAAAACAAATTAACAACAGGAATGAAGAAAAAAAATCAAATCAACCAAGCCAAACAAACTTTACTTCCACATAATTAAAAGGCAAACGAAAAGAAAAGAAAAAAAGAAGAGAAAAGAGAAATAAGTTTAATGTATATAAAAAAAGGAAAAGAAGACAAAGCACAATTTGTATCTCTTATAAAGAAATGAAGAGATAGTCAGATGCACAAAGGTGAAGCGGGGCACTAAGAAGGCATGATAAGAAACAGACACAAGCAGTACCCTTCAAATAACAGCGATGACAGCGTCTTCACAGCAGTATAAACCGCAGTACGTTAGTGGCGCGAAGAGCGAGACAGCAGCAAACAATGGGAGAACGAGAGGGAGAATCCTACAGCGAAAACAAAAGGAGATGTTACTAATCATCATGTTGTCCACACTCCCAATTATAGTTGCGTTTAAAAAAATAATAAAATAAATAAACTTGCGGTCAGGGTATCACGCCAGATAGAAAACGTACAGGCACAGGTTTGTCAGTCATGCCCACCGATCCCCTGGAGTCGGTGGCCATTCCTCCTCCATGGCTCCTCCCTCCATCAGCTCCACCGTGGGCCGCTGCTATGGCTGTGGCCTGGGTCCTGCTGTGCTCTTCCTGCTCCGGGTCCCTCCTGTCTCCTCCCTGGACTCTGTCTGCCGGCCCCCTCCCGGGCGTCAGTCCTCCTCCTGAGCCTCCTCCCTAGTTCCCACCCACTCCCCTCCCCATGTTGTTTCAACAGTGCAAGGACGCACCTTCCAGGAGGGGGGAGTAATGTCACGCCCCTGGACTCTTTGTGTTGCGTTTTCCCTCCCCAGGTGTGCCGTGTTCCCTTTTAATTAGTCATTCCTTGCACCTGTGTTTTCCCAATCACCCAGTGTTTAAAAGCCCCAGTCCTTTCAGTTAGTGTTTGTCAGTCCTCAAATGTCATTCCTTGTGTTCCAGTGTCACCTACATTCCCCGTGTGATCATTAAATACTGTGAATTGAAGTTATCTCTGTGTTTCCTCATTCCTCACTCCTTGCCTCCCGAGAAGTGTGATCGTTATTTGTAAATACTACTGCTTATGTTAGCTTCTAATATATGATTTTATCCGTATTAAAGCTTTAATACAGCAGAATACATGATTGCTTTGTACCATTTTTGTAAAGTAGTTGTTTATTTTGTAACAGTAAGAAGTGTTTGCCAGCAAGTATTGCTTGCTACTATGCAATCACATACAAGTCAAATTGCATTAATAAATTATTGGTCACATGCAAATAAAACACAATTAAAAACACAAAACAAATTAACAACAGGAATGAAGAAAAAAAATCAAATCAACCAAGCCAAACAAACTTTACTTCCACATAATTAAAAGGCAAACGAAAAGAAAAGAAAAAAAGAAGAGAAAAGAGAAATAAGTTTAATGTATATAAAAAAAGGAAAAGAAGACAAAGCACAATTTGTATCTCTTATAAAGAAATGAAGAGATAGTCAGATGCACAAAGGTGAAGCGGGGCACTAAGAAGGCATGATAAGAAACAGACACAAGCAGTACCCTTCAAATAACAGCGATGACAGCGTCTTCACAGCAGTATAAACCGCAGTACGTTAGTGGCGCGAAGAGCGAGACAGCAGCAAACAATGGGAGAACGAGAGGGAGAATCCTACAGCGAAAACAAAAGGAGATGTTACTAATCATCATGTTGTCCACACTCCCAATTATAGTTGCGTTTAAAAAAATAATAAAATAAATAAACTTGCGGTCAGGGTATCACGCCAGATAGAAAACGTACAGGCACAGGTTTGTCAGTCATGCCCACCGATAGCACAATGGGATACAAGAAATCCAGCCTATTTATCATGCGACAAAATGTTAACCCCACATCAACGTAACTAGCCCAATACAACAAGCTTGTTAAACTACACATACCTGAAAGGTGAACAATCATCAATCCACTACAGTGCCGAAAGGGCACCAGCACCAAAGCAAAAAGACATGCTGCTACCACCGCCAACACCAGCACAAAGGAGGAAGTCGGACGTGATGCATCCAAGGCCAATCAGCCCTTAAATACCAGATACTACTCTCTGATAGGCAAACACTGTTATCACCTAGTCCCATCACACGTTTCATACTGTAAAGCTGCTTTGACAAACCCTGCATTCCATTCGGAAGGGCTCATCCCTATGCCCTAATCCCTTCAAAGAGTTTACCCTCCGGAGTGAGAGCTTCGAAGGTTTGAAGGGTGTAGGGGACCAAACAACTGTTTCTTGAAGTGCCCTTCTGCGTCACCATCACGTGCCCACACGGAGGCGCCGTCATCATGCAAAGAATCTGTGCAAAGGATCATGGGAGCCTGAAGTGTCCATCAGTTGTACCCTTCGAAATCCTTCATTTCGAAGGGTCCTTTGAAGTGGCCAGTTTTGAACACTTCGGTTTGGAACGACCCTTCAGTATGGCGGCCATGATTGTTTTCACTCTGAAGTGCCCTTCGGAGGGCGATATATTCTATTTAGAATGCACCTGGAACGCTTCTTCTTCTTTGTTGTTTTAATAGCGATCGGCATCCAGCATTAAGGTGCATTACCGCCACCTACTACACTGGCGTGTGGGCTTGAGTCAACTACCTCCCAGATAATAATAATAATAATAATAATAATAATAAAAACTTTTAAATTTTGTTAATTAAGCCCGTTATTCTCATATAATTTAATAAACTTTCATTGTTATGACCATTAAGTATGTATTTAATGCTAATTTCAATATAACTTTGTTTCCTAATTTCTTTCTTTAATATCTCTCTTTCTGTCTTTTGGCAGTGACATAGTATGTTTTCCACTGATTCCTCCTCTTGACAATGATCACATAAGCCAGTTGGATGTTTCCTTATTAGATGTAATGTTTTATTCAACCCTGTGTGTCCTATTCTCAATCGTGTAATTAGACCTTCTATTTTGTTATTTCCTTTACAATCCCTCCTACTTCCTACTTCTCCTGTATTCTATAGTAATGTCTACCTGTTACTTCCCTATCCCAGTTATATTGACATTCCTTTATTATACTATTCTTAACTTTTACTTTTGTTTCTGATTTACTAGGATTTCCATAATCTCTACATGCCTTCTTAGCTAAAACATCTGCAAATTTGTTCCCTTTAATTCCTATGTGTGCTGGAATCCACATGAATACTATTATCACATTTACTCTCTGCAGTCTAAATAAAATTTAATATATGCAATCCTGCCTATTCTATGATGATATTGCCTTAATTGAAATCAATGCTGAACTGAATATATTGTCACAGGACCAAAACAAACAACAGAGAAGGACCAGTGACACACCCTGGTCTGACAATCATGATATGATAAATCAAAATGTCCTTGATCTATTGGCATATAAGAGGTCTTTGTACCATTAAAACATCCTGCAAATTTCATAGCTTAAAACTGTGGTTCCTGAACACGTTCCTGGAGACCCCCCACCCCCAAATCTGGAGTCTCTGGAATTGTTGGAGTCTCTACTAATGAGCTGATGATCTGGATTAGGAGTGTTTGATTAAGGAGACATGGTAAACATGCAGTGTTGGGGGGCTCAAGGAATGTGGTTGGGGAGCCCTGGCTTAAAACGTCATCTGCCCAGAATGACAGTATGACAGTCAGCGGAAGTGAGATAAAAATGTTTATAACATTTTAAATATTAATATTTTTCTTACAAAAACGCATTGATTGCCCCCTATCTAGAACTATAGCCCTTTAATGGTAGATCAGCTTGTTGGGGGGTGTTTTGTCCTGTCTCGTCCTATTTATTTACAAGTTGATTTATGTTCAACTTGTTTTCTTTCACTCATCAACACGCATATCTTGGCTTGTATTGTCCATTTCTAGTGTCTCCTGCTTTGTTGGGTGGTAATTTCATATATGCTACATATGTAGCAGCAGCATGTATTACATGTTCACAGCAGAATGTCTGTGGATATACTGGCAGTAGCAAACCTCTGTACTTGCTCTGCTGCTGCAGCATAGCAGATCTGTTTTGCCAAATACATTAACATTGCAGTGTCCGTTATAAATATGCCAAGCTCTCTGAGAGCTGTCATGACTACTAATGTCAACCCACAATGTCAACTACTAATGTCAACCCACAAATGTCACAAAACAGTACATTTATAAAGCTAAAGATTTTGACCTGAAGTTGTTGTATTGTTCTTGTAGATGTGTGTTAATTTGCATTGAATTCATTACAAACATATTTCCAGGCATTCTTTTTTCGCTGATTCCATAACTGATGTGTGCAGTTTTCTTTATTTCTTTTTCTCTTCTTCTTTTTTTATTGCACTCTTTTTTTTGCTTCCAAGGTTGGATTTGCTTCTCAGTTCAATACAAAAGCTTTAAGGTTTTCCTGGTTTATTCAATGATTTAACCATTCAGATTATTACAACTGGTTTTAAATTAATCTTGTTTATTTTTGTTCAATGCTTCATAGTCCAGGTGTTAGTAATCTGCACTTAGTCTGTGTTTCAGAAAGCTATTTTAAAGCCATGATTATACTCTTGTCTTTATTTAAACCATTTCTGGGAAACAGTGAGTACAAATAAAACTGTTCAGACTTTTTTTTTTTTGAGTGCAACTTGAGTGCTAGAAGTGAATGATTTATTATGCCATCCCCAAAGGGCATTTTAATATATGATAAAAGGCAGCATTACCCTTGTTCTGCCTCAGAGGTTCCTGCCCTGCATACAGTACATATTGGCATGGCTAAGCGCTCTATGTCAAAGCTGCTAATGTTGCTGGTGGTGTATGTTATCTGTGTACCAGCCTCAGCACAAGTCTGCAGACTGCTTGGTCAGTCTGCCCTTTCTCTACTTTCTGCAGATAGAGATATCAACATTGGGGCAATTTTCTCACTCCACAAAAGTGCTCTTTTGAAGATCCATAATTTCACTTCCAAACCAGAGCAAGCAACATGTGGAAGGTCTGTATGATAATGACTGTAAGGCCTGTCATTGACAAAATGTGGTATTAATAATAATAATAATAATTGAGCATGCAATGATTATTTGCAACACATTCAGCTGATGCTTTATTTTCACAGCTTGAACTTGCGTGAATTTAAATTTGTTCAGACTCTGATTTTTGCTATTGAGGAGATCAATAACAGCACACAGCTGTTGCCTGGTGTTTCTTTGGGCTATAAAATATATGATTCCTGTGGCTCAATAGCTCAGGCTATCTTCTCAGGCATGGCATTGATGAACGGTTATGAAGAGACACTGAGTGATACATCCTGTTCTAGACCACTAGCCGTACATGCTATTGTTGGGGAGTCAAACTCCTCTCCCACCATTGGCTTGGCATCTTTAGTTGGTCCATTCAGCATACCTGTTGTAAGAGCTTGTTATTATGTTGAAGTAAATATAGAAACCAATGTGTTCAGTTTATTTAGCCTGTAGCAGTCTGTTTAGTAAAATTATGCTTTTAAGATACAGACATAGAATAAAAATAGAAAATTAAAAGGCATATGGAAAATATCTGTGCATGCAGTTAACATACTCTACTTTTTTCCGTATTTGTTGTAGATCAGTCATTTTGCCACATGTGCATGCCTGAGTAACAAAAAAAGGTATCGATCCTTCTTCAGAACAATACCAAGCGATTATTACCAAAGCAGAGCTCTGGCTCAGCTTGTCAAGCACTTTGGCTGGACCTGGGTTGGGACAGTCAGGAGTCGCAGTGACTATGGTAATAATGGTATTGCAGCATTTGAGGAGGCTGCAAAACAAGAAGGGATTTGTATTGAATACTCAGAGGCCATATTTAAAACTGATCCAGAAGAGCAATTTCTGAAGACAATAGAAGTGATAAAGAAGGGCACTGCCAGGGTGGTACTGGCTTTTATGGCATTTGGAGATTTTGTCCTCCTCCTGAAAGTAATTGCTCAACACAACATCACAGGGGTACAGTGGATTGGCAGTGAATCCTGGATTACTTCTCAAAATCTGGCAGAAACAAAGGAATACAGTTTCCTTTCTGGAGCTGTGGGATTTGCTATAGCAAATGCTAAACTTGTGGGCCTGCAAGAGTTCCTACTGAATGTGCACCCTGATCAAGAACCAAACAATGAACTTTTAAAAGAATTCTGGGAAACAGCTTTTCAATGCTCTTTCAGGAACAGTGGCAGTGATAGCTGTACTGGTTCAGAGCAACTTGCTGAGCTGCGAAATGAATATACTGATGTATCCGAGCTACGAATAGTAAATAAGGTGTACACTGCAGTGTATGCTGTTGCACATACACTACATAATGTCTTCACATCCTCCACCAACACCAGCAAAGGAGAACGGCCCACACCACAAAAGGTATGTAAGAGCACGAAGAGTATTAAAAAAAAAAAAAAAAAAAAAAAGGCCTTTTTCAATACAAACACCCAAAATTTTTAATAAAAATATATATA